GTAAACAAGTGTATGTAAGAGTGCATTAAAACTTTCAAAGGAAGATTGCACGCCAACTTGAAGATAATGACTACCTCTGAAATGAGTACAAGAGGATCTCAATTGTATGTGTAGCATTTCATTAAAAAAAAAATCTGAAACAAAAAAAATTTTTTTGTAATTCTTTACTTTTACAACATGAAGGGATACAGAATCACCATACCCTGAATATCTGAATTTGTCTTTCTCTCAAGGCCTTGAAAAATTGAAGTTCAACGCTAAACCTGACTTGGAGGAAGTAGATAGTGGTAAAAATAAAAAGTGTAAATGAACAAAAAGCAAAGTCTATATTTTGGCTCATGAAAATTAAAGTCTAAGAAGTTTTAAATAAAACCTCAAAAACCTGCATCTGTCTGTGGTCTTGCTTTCATGACCATCTTCTATTATTTATAAAGTAATATCATCTAAGGTACTAGGTATTATGGCTTGTATTGTGCTGGTGCTCTTTGTGGGTAGATTTCTGGGGTTTCTTTTTATTTTCTTTTCAAATAATCAGCAATGTGTCTGTTGATACTATCTGAAGGTTATCATGTGAACTTAATACTAAAATGAAAATACCAAGTCAAGAAAAAAATCAAGAAGGCCCATAAGGTGCTATACAACCTTGCTCACCTAACAGAATTATCTAATTTTCAAACTCATGTATTCTCTTAAAGCCCACATGAAATGGAAGAACAATGAATTTTATTATGGGGTAATACTTTAACCTAAACTGGAATAAGATTTAACTTCTGAAAGGGAGGTTTCTGAAGCTTTATATACCATTGTGATATAAATAACACTTTTAAACCCATGGTTTGATAGAGCAATATAGCTAAAAGGTTGACAGAAGAAAGAAAATTGGGCAGCTTAAAAAAGAAAATGAACCAAAAAGTTTTCAGAAATAGGGAAAAACTTAAATGTAAACTGAAAACATCAATGTGAACTAATGACTTAAAAAATATTTTAGGGCTTCCCTGGTGGCGCAGTGGTTGAGAGTCCGCCTGCCGATGCAGGAGACACGGGTTCGTGCCCCGGTCCGGGAAGATCCCACATGCCGCAGAGCGGCTGGGCCCGTGAGCCATGGCCGCTGAGCCTGCGCGTCCGGAGCCTGTGCTACGCAACGGGAGAGGCCACAACAGTGAGAGGCCCGCGTACCGCAAAAAAAAAAAAAAAAATATATATATAATATCTATATATATATTTTTTTTTAATGATTTTTCTTTATCCTGTCCCTAAAGGGGCCAAAACAGCCTCTGGTATCATCCTGCCTAAAAACAGTACTACCCTACACTCCCGATTTTGGTATCTAGTACTATTTCTCACAGAAATGAACCAATGCTGCCAGGACGGTAGCTGATTCCAAGTCTTGGAGCAGGGGCCCAAACCAAAATCAGTTGAAACAATATTACCAAGAAGCAAAGATGCCTTCCAAGATGTTCACGCTAGTTCTAAGAAGGGAAAAGAACCCTGGCAGGCCCACTGATGAGCCTGCCAGGGTCATGAGATTTTGAGCCTTTAGTCATCATCACCTCCACAACTAATTAAATGAAATTAGCTGAGACGAAATAAGGCATAAATCCATAAGTCCACGATGATACAAAGAGAGGCATGCAGAAGATTCTAATAATGTTTACAGAAAATGCATTCTACTGATCTACCCACTCAAGTTTTAATCAACAACGAAGAATATAATTAGATGTTTTTCTTTTCGTGTGTAAAACTAATAATATCAGCCAATTGTGATTGACATCTATTTTACTAAAAGAAGTCAAAATCTCTAGGTGCCTCTTGCAAAGCATAAAATTTACATATGGAACATGTAATTGTCATTTGTTGTTTTAATTCTGCTATCAAGGATACTATGTATCAAGGCTACAACCCATCTTAAATGTGGTAATGGGATTATGACTGTATCTCACCATGACAAGTTGTTTCTGTCCCAAGCAGGTTATAAGAGGACATGCAATCTAAAATTGAAACAAATATATTTTATAAAACCTTACTTTCAAAAAAAAATGTTTACTTATTTAAAAAGTTTGTTTCTAGGTGTTTATTTAGAAAGATGTGTTAGATCTTTCTGTATCTTATTCCTTTCAAAACAGAAAAAGAAACAAATTGTTTTCATTTCTTTGCTTTTGTTTATTTTTCTAAAGTAGAGCTAAGGGGGAAACAGTTTCTCTCCCTCTATTTATTTTTAAATTTTTATCTTATTCTGGATTATAGTTGATTAACAATGTTGTGTTAGTTTCAGGTGTACAGCAGAGTGATTCAGTTATACATATACATGTATCTATTCTTTTTCAAATTCTTTTCCCATTTAGGCTATTACAGAGTATTGAGCAGAGTTCCCTGTGCTATACAGTAGGCCCTTGTTGGTTACCTATTTTAAATATAGCAGTGTGTACATGTCAGTCCCAAACTCCCAATCCATCCCTCCCCCCACCCTTCCCCCCGGTAACCATAAATTTGTTCTCTAAGTCTGTGAGTCTGTTTCTGTTTTGTAAATAAGTTCACTCATATCATTATTTTTTAGATTCCACATGTAACCGATATCATATGGTATTTGTCTTTCTCTTTCTGACTTACTTTGCTTAGTATGATAATCTCCAGGTCCATCCATGTTACTGCAAATGGTATCATTCTTTTTAATGGCTGAGCAATATTCCATTGTATATATGTACCACATCTTCTTTTTCCATTCAACTCTCCCTCTGCTTTCAATGCCATTCATTGTCCATTATTGTCTAGTCCATTATTAGGGCTCTAGTACATCTACTCTCGTACTCTTGCTAACAAAGGCACCCAGGATCAAGCAAGAGAAGGGGATGTCTTACTTGACATCAACCTTAAAGTTTTGATATGTCTAGTTGTTTTTAGCAGTATGTGACTACTATTCATAGATTTCACAAATCCCTCTTGAACCCACATAAAAAAATTTATGTCTACACCATTACTTGAAATTAATTAAGTCCCATAATTATCTTCTTTTCATTTGTCCTAAACTTATCCTAATCTTATCAAAGGTTGCCTGTCTTTCTAGAATACTAGAATTTCTTGAGCAAGCCTGTGCTCAGCTTAACCAGGGTCTTTTAAGATTAAGGGCCATTGATCCTTTTGGCCTAAGGTCCTTCATCAGGGCTGCCATCTCTTCCCTCAGTCTAGCAGATCTTCTCTGGCTGGTCTTTAGTTCCACTATGTCCCTTCTAAGATGTGATTGCCAAAACTGCACAGAGGACTCCTGGTGAGGAAACACCACAGATCTACATAACGTAAGATAACCATCGGTTTGTCTTCAGTAACTCTCAATGATGCGCAATGTTATGGTTGGATTTTTATCATTATCAGAGTCCTAAGCTGCTATACCCATAATAATTAACAAGTGTCTTTTCTGAGTTACAGTTCTAAATTATTTAGAACTATTTTAGATTCCTTTTAAACATTTCATTGCCCGGACTTCCCTGGTGGTGCAGTGGTTAAGAATCTGCCTGCCAATGCATGGGTTGGCATGGGTTCGAGCCCTGGTCCAGGAAGATTCCACATGCCATGGAGCAACTAAGCCCATGCGCCACGACTACTGAGCCTATGCTCTAGAGTCTGTGAGCCACAACTATTGAGCCCGCGTGCCACAACTACTGAAGCCCATGCACCTAGAGCCCATGCTCCACAAGAGAAGCCACCGCAATAAGAAGCCCACGCACCGCAACGAAGAGCAGCCCCCGCTCACCACAACTAGAGAAAGCCTGCGTCCAGCAACGAAGACCAAACGCAGCCAAAAATAAATAAATAAAAATTAAAACAAACAAACAAAAACCATTTCATTGCCTATTTTAAAACCAGTCTACAACTTTTCCTGTTGTTCAGGAACACAAATTTTTAAGACCTTCTTGTTATCTAGATCTAGCATTTGTGGCTCTTCTCTCTCTGAAAGATTTTTCATAAGTTATTTCTCCAGTTCTATATAAAGATGCTAAGTAATTCCAGTCCTAGCATTGATCTCAAAGACCTCATCAACCATTTACATCACCCTTACATTTACATCAACCATTTACATCACCCTTAAATCCCTACACTTTGTTTCCTCTTTCCAGATCCCCTCTCCTTCTTCTGATTCTATAGTTATTTAGCAGATCACTCATTAATTCAAGAAATAGTTACTGGCATCTACTCAGTAGGAGGCAAAATAATAGGTGTTAGGAATACGATGACGCAAACATAGGGTCCCTGCCTTAAAGAATTTCAGGCTATGCTACATTCGCTGGTGCATCTTTATTTACTTGCCTATTTTACTCCTTAGAAACACTAGTCAGGCACAATTCCTTTTTTCATAAATCATTTGTTTTTCCCCTAAAGAACATTATTTATGTTCTTGATTGTAGAATTCAATGAATTACCCATGCAAGGATGAAACTGAGTCACTTGTACATTCTCAAATCTTTTTAGGTCTGCACTGCCCAATTCAGTAGCCATTAGTCCCATGTGGCTAATTTTAAATTAGTTACAATGAAATGAGATTAAAAATTCAGTTCCTCAGTTTCACTAGCTACATTTCAAGTGCTTAATAGCCACATGTGACTACTGGCTACCATATTGGGCAGCACAGATTTGGACCATTTCCATCATCACAGAAAGTTTTATTAGACAGTACTTTTTGGACAGTCCTTATGCAAGGGGTCACACAGTGGCCACATATAAAAACAGGTTACACATTTTGGCAAACAATCACTGTCTTCCTCAATACTCATGTGATGCCACCTAGCACTAGAGTAAGTTACATTCTTTTTGTCATTGAGGTCTAAACTAAAATACTGACCTCTATGGAATAGGGTTTTAATTGTAACATAAGACAAAATAATCACTCCTTTTTATGCCTTCTTAGTAACAGAATATATGACTGGGAATGTATAATGAAAGTACCTAAGTAATAGCAATAATGCAATAAATAATCAATTCAACATGGGAAACATCTTAAAGAATCTTACCCTCCTTCACTTTCCGCTTCCTCTGAACTATTACTTGTTGCTGAACTTTGAACTGTGACAAGCCTTCTTTTTCTAGCTCTGTGCTGAGGACTTATCTTGTGAACAGTTATCTTCCCTCCAAGTTCGCCTTGGATATATTCCTCCAGCTTTGGAATGGCTTCTTTAAGAACTCTGATTTCCTCTTTGAGTTCTTCCATATTTGTCAGTAATTCATTTATCTTCTCCAATATCTGAAGTTGCCTTCCTTGAAAGATCGCTGTTGTTCCTTGGCCATTAGGCATTTCATCTTGCAAAGGCATCAAATCAAGTGAATTACCCAGAGAAAGAAATTTAGGTAAATCCATTGCTGTCCTTGGTTTACGAACCTTGTGGTACCACAGAAGCAGCAAGCTGATTCCAGTAGTTCCCACCATGATGCCAAGTATCATTTCTTTGTTTGTGGAACGAGGCATTTCCTGGTTTTTGTTTCTAAAATTAAAAGTATAAATGTAAATGAACATTGTTTCTGTCTTTCCCAAGACAAAAATATTAGGGCTTTTTCAATCAACAAAAACCAAGTCTACCTCATCACAAAAAAATTTAATAACACTTGATAAATCACAAACTAAAATAAACTATGAGTAATTGCCTCTATAATGTATGTGGCTGAATAGAAATACTAACTGTATGGATATTACTGACAACCAGTGTAAAGTATCAACTGTAATTCAGAATTTGTATTCTACTTCTGATCTGAAATTTACTCTTTACCATGTATTTTTAAAGGGTATGATAGAGGTAAAAGCATCATTATAAATTTCTGAAAAAACTATTTAAGAATTCAAATTATGCTTAACTGTGTCTGAACCTTTTATTTGTATAAAATTAACTAGTGTGCTAATGTCTGGGTTTTATCTAATCTTTAAGGAAAGTCCAAGAAAAAGCTCTTCCTTGGCATCTAGTTAACATTTTGTACTCCAATTTAGAGTGATAAACATTTTAAAATGGGCTTTGAGATATAAAATATACAAAGAGTTGTGGCATGTTTGTAACCACCTCATCTCTTTTATTCAACATGGAAAGCAGAGATGCTAATGTATGTGCAGGCTTTACCTCCTTTCTTCTGACCTGGAATTCTTCTGCTTCTTACATTTCTATTTCTGTCTGAGGTCTTAATGTTTTTATTTTCTTTCAAGTGTTCACTTATTTTTAAAGTAATAAAAAAGTAATTTCTTTGACTCCTTTCTCCTTCTGAACTTTCACCATTTTGCATCAAAGACCCAAGCTTTGGGCTACACAGGCCTAAGCTTCCATATAAACTTATAAACTTCCATATAAACATAAACTTGTTGCATATAAACTTAGCTACTTTGACAAAATGCACCATAATCTTTCTTTACTTCATCCACTCTTCACTAGTTTTATTGCTTATCACTGTTCTTAAAGAAGGCCACTAAAGGAAAACAATAATATAAATCCCCCTTTCCTTCTGAGACTTTAAAATGGCAATGAGTATATAAATACAAGGATAAACTTTTGTAATGAGAGTAAAATATAATAAGGCTTTTATACAGACTTTGAAGTTTCCAAAATTGTTTTCCCATCAATTTCCCCTATTTTATAAACAGGTAAACACCTGTATTAAATTTTGTTTGCAACTTGGGAGAAATGATACAAATAATGGTAAACTGTCTGTTACGAAATTAAATTTGCAAATATTTCGGTTTGTTTTTCCTGACACTTTCTCAAGGAGCAAGTTATTATAGCACTGCCACCCTTAATCCCTGATAAAAGGGAAACAAAGAGGAAAGTACTATGATCTCCCCAGGTTTCCAGTTGGAGGCAATTTCTGGACTATGGCACAGGGAAGGGAAAACCAAACAGAGCCTGGTAATCTCACTGAGTTGAAAAGAGATCAGAGCTCAGAGAAACTGAAGCACCCAGAATTTGTGCCCACTTAGTACTGAAGATGAGGGAGTTATGCAGAGAAAGAGTTCCAGAAATACGCATAGGGCTATTCTTGAGTCTTTTTTTTTTTAATTTTTAAAAATTTTTATTTGTTTATTTCGGCTGCACCAGGTCTTAGTTGCAGCACGTGGGATCTTGGTTGTGGCATGCAGGATCTTTAGTTGTGGCATGTAGGATCATTAGTTGCGGCATGTAGTGTCCTTTTAGTTGCAGCCTATGGAATCTTTAGTTGTGACATGCAAACTCTTAGTTGTGGCATGCATGTGGGATCTAGTTCCCTGACCAGGGATTGAACCTGGGTCCCCTGCATTGGGAATGCGGAGTCTTAGCCACTGGACCACCAGGGAAGTCCCCCTCCTTGCACCTTTAATTGAATACCAATCTGCACATGCATAGAGTGAAACCCCACTGAGCCAGGCAAAAAACAATTTCAAGGGAAAGAACAATTACCAGGAAGCTGTACGCTGAACTATTCCTAAAGATTACACAGAACTGTAAGTGTTCAAGTGTTTACCATCCAGAGTGTAGAGTGTGTATGAGTTACTTGAGACTTTCAGTAGAGGCTTCAGAAGGGTAATGGCTTGCTAATGCAGCTAAACTAACACTAGAGTTAAGGCTATTTAGACCTGCTCTAAAATAGATTAAAAATGAGCCTTCAGGGCTTCCCTGGTGGCGCAGTGGTTGAGAGTCCGCCTGCCGATGCAGGGGACACAGGTTCGTGCCCCGGTCCGGGAAGATCCCACATGCCGAGGAGCGGCTGGGCTCGTGAGCCATGGCCACGGAGCCTGCGCGTCCGGAGCCTGTGCTCCGCAACGGGAGAGGCCACAACAGTGAGAGGCCTGCGTACCGCAAAAAAAAAAAAAAAAGAGGCTTCAAAGGATCAAACTGATTCACAAGTAATTTAACTGCCTTCAGTAGAAAGTCCAACACTCTTTACAGGAATAGAAAAAATCCAGAACTCAACAACATAAAATCACAATGTTGACCATCTAATCAAAAATTACTAGACATGTAAAAATGCAGGAAAATGACAGAGGTGATATAATTAGCAGATAAGGGTTTTAAAACAACTATTACAGATATTACGTTCATTATTTAATATAAATATTAAAAATATGCTAAAGGAAAACATAAACATGACGAGGAAAGTTATAGAAGGCATTAAGCAGAACCATATAGAACCTCTAAAGATAAAAAATAAAATAACTGAAATAAAATTTTACTAAATGAGATTAACAGCAGAGAAACACTACAGGAAAAAAAACATATCAGCAAACCCAAAGACATAACAATAGAAACCATCTGCTATAGAGTAAATATTTGTGTCCCTCCAAATTCATATGTTGAAATCCTAATCCCCAAGGTGATAGTATTGGATGGAGTCCCTTTAGGAGGCAGAGCCCTCATAAATAGGATTAGGGCCCTTATAAAGAGACCCCAGAGAGATCCCTTGTTTCTTCCACGACATAAAGTTACAGCAAGAAGGTGCCAGCTATGAACCAGGAAGCAGGCCCCCACAAAACAGTGAATCTGCCAGTGCCTTGATCTTGGATTTCTTAGCCTCCAGAATGATGAGAAATAAATTTCTGTTTTATATAAGCCACCCAGTCTACAGGATTTTGTTATAGCAGTCCAAATGGACTAAGACAGCATCCAAAATGAAGCACACAGATTTTAAAAAAAGACTAAAAAACAAACAAACAGAAAACCAAGTAGAGCCTATAGGGTAATATCAAGCAGTCTAAAACATATATAATTAAAGGGAAGAAAAGGAGGGGTAACAAAAAAATTTGAAGGAAAAATGGCCAAAAAAATTCCAAGTTGGACAAAATCTATAAACCCAGAGATCCAAGAAGGTCAACATAATCCAAGAAGAATAAATTAAGAAAACCAAACCATGGCAAAACATTATTAAAATGCTGAAAACCAGTGATAAAGAAATGTGAAAAGCAGCCAGTGATGGGGAAAAAAAGACATATTATGTACAGAGAAAAAAAGATAAGATTACAGCAGACACTGTCTCCAAGGCATCACCTCAGAAACTATTCAAGCAAGAAAACAACAGAGTGACCTCTTTAAAGTGTCGAAAGAAACTGTCAACTTGCATTTCTACACCCAGTAAAATACTTTTCAAAAATGAGGGTAAAATAATGAATTTTTTAAACAAAGAAAAGTTGAGAGAATCCATTACCAGCAGCCCTTCACTACAAGAAATGCTAACAGAGGTTCTTCAGGCAGAAGGAAAATAATAACACATAGAAACTTGGATCTATACAAAGGATGAAGAGCACCAGTAGTGGCAAGCATGTGGCAAAATATAAGTCATTTTTCTCATTTTAAGACTTATTCATAAAATATTTGCTTATTACAGCAAAAATGACAATAACATATCATGAGGGTTTTATCATATGTAGAAGTAAGAAAGTAGGACAACAATAGCCCAAAGGCTGGGAAGGGAAAGAGAACATACTGTTGTAAGGGTCCTAAGTTTATAAAGCAGTGTTATAATAAAGAGCCACAGTTGTCACAGCAAAGGAAACCATAAAAAAGACGAAAAGACAACCTCCAGAATGGGAGAAAATATTTGCAAACGAAGCCACTGACAAAGGATTAAGCTCCAAAATATACAAACAGCTCATACAGCTCAATATTAAAAAAACAAAACCCAATCCAAAAATGGGCAGAAGACCTAAGCAGACCTTTCTCCAAAGAAGACATACAGATGGCCAACAGGCACATGAAAAGCTGCTCAATCTATCTTCTATGATTTCAATGCAAATCGAAACCACAATGAGGTATCACCTCACACCGGTCAGAATGGTCATCATTAAAAAATCTACAAAAAATAAATGCTGGAGAGGGTATGGAGAAAAGGCAACCCTCCTACACTGTTGGTGGGAATGTAAATTGATACAGCCACTATGGAGAACAGTACGGAGGTTCCTTAAATAGCTAAAAATAGAGCTACCATATTGAAATATGACTTCAGAACTGAGAAAATCAACTGGGAAAAAAACTAAAATCAATGGAGCAGGTATTTGTTTTAAATAATCACAATTAGAGAATAATAGTTCAAGCTATGTTTGAGTTTTATATCAGTATAAAATGAATGTGCTTCTAAGCCAATAATTTGCAAAATGCCACTCATTAAAAATCAGAACACCTGCTTGCCTGCAGTATAATTTCAAAGGTTATATTACATCATTTACATAACTTTAATACATTTAATTATCACATTAGTAGTAGACACTTGCACTTTAGTATAAAAACACAGTAATTTAAAAATATATTGACTAGGGAATTCCCTAGTGGTCCAGTAGTTAGGACTCAGTGCTTTCACTGTTGGGGCCCAGGTCAATCCCTGGTCAGGGAAGTAAGATCCCATGGCATAAAGAAAGAAAGAAAGAAAGAAGGAGAGAGAGAGGGAGGGAGAGAGAGAAGGAAGGAAGGAAGAAAGAAAGATTGATTCTTGGTTTAAAAAAAAAAAAAAAAAATATATATATATAGACTAGATAATCAGA